TTTTTCCTGCTGGTATTGATTTTCCAAGCATATCTCACAGTTTTTTTTTGTTTGAGCAGCATCATCTCGGGTGTTAAGAAGCCCAAGAAATGTGATTCATCATGATGTTTGTGTTCTTCGAATGGAATCCAGGTGGCCTAGAAACTCCATATCCAGCGGGTGTTTCGGCCACCAGATGGTCACTCTTGGGCACTCTGAATAGCATCCATCAGAGGGAAAAGTGGCCCCGAGACATGCAATTTGCAGGCCACTTAATGTCCTGGTGTTTGCAGGATGGCAACATTTAACGTGCTGCTGCATCAAATAAATGGGAAAAGAGAAGTTAAGGAATTGGCTACAGGGGAGGTTGGGAAAATCCTGGCGGGTGAAAAGTATTTCTTCCACACCAAAAGCCAAAGAGATTTTTCCCCGTTCCCAGCAAACTGCAACTCTGTTAAATCCAATCCACAGTTGTGATAACAGAGGTTCCTCCTCCAACAACCATATATTGGTGGTATTAATATCAAGTTTTACGTGATAATTTGGGATGATGGGGTGGAAGGGGGTGGCAGTAAAATGTATACAGATAATCCTCGACTTACGACCACGATTGAGCCCAAAATTTAGGTTGCCAAGTGAGAAATTTGTTAAATGAGTTCCCCCCCACCCATTTTACAACTTTTCTTCCACATTGGTTAAGCCAATCAGTGCAATTGTTAAATTAGTAACATGGCTGGGAAGTGAATCTGGTTTCCCCCTTGAGTTTGCTTGTTGGAAGTTGCGAAAGGTCACATGACTCCCCGGGGCACTGCAAACGGTCGTAGATATAAGCCAAGTTGTCAAGCATCTGAATGTAAATCACATGACCACGGGGATGCTGCAATCGTCATAAGGGTGGAAAATGGTCATAATTGATTGATTGATTGATTTATTACATTTGTATGCTGCCCTTTTCCCCGAAGGGGACTCAGGGCGGCTCACAATTCAATCAGGGAAGGGGGTATAGACAAGGGAATAAAAAAGACGACACATAACAATACAAAATTT